AAAAATTAGCTTATCCACTTTCACCAACACGTCCTCCATTACACCATATGGGTACTTGATGGATCGGTCAGCTAGTTGAAGAGCCATTCTTTTACTTTTGACTTCACCCACTCATAATTTCTTCAAAATGAAGAGTGGCATTAAGTTAATGCTGGCCTCCAAATCGCATAGAGCCTTTCTAATGGTCACATTTCCTATAATGCAGGGGATTGTGAAACTACTCAGTTCCTTCAACTTTGGAGGTAACTTTTGCTGCAAATTGGCATTGCATTCTTTAGTCAAAGCAATTGTAGCATCCTTCTTCAATTTCCTCTTCTTTGAAAACAAGTCCTTCATGAACATGGCATACAAAGGCATTTGCTCTAGTGCTTCTGCAAATGGAATATTTATGTGCAACTTTCTGAAAATATCCAAGAATCTTGAAAACTGTTGTTCTTTCCCTTTGTTCTTATGGAGGTGTGGATATGGCAACTTGACATAAAGAGGAGGGATTTGATGCTTGCATGAATCTTCCAAGATCTATTTTTTGGTTCTGTTCCAGTATGCCTCATCCACTATCAATTTCTGTTTTGTGGGATTTTTCTCCTCTACTTCCTCTTTTTCAATTTCCACTTCTAGTTGCTGCTCTGCTACACCATCTTCTTGTAGTCCAACATTTGAATTATCTTCCTTTTCAAGTGGTTTTTTCTTGAATTGTGGCTTCCCACTTCTTGTAATGATTGCTTGGCAGAATTCTTTTGGATTTTTCACTATATTCCTAAAAAAGAAGCCTTGGGCTGGTTTATTTATTTTCTTTATAATCTGGCCCATCTGATTTTCCATGTTCTTGATGGAAGCTTCTTGATTAGCCATCCTTGTGCTTGAGTCCTACATAAATAAATTTATTGTTTGGGTTAATTGCATAAGTACTTTTTCAAGAGATGATACCTGATCATTTACTGGCTGATGTGGTTGCTGCATTGGTCCTAAATTTGGGAAATTTTGCTGCTGCCATGGTCCTTGTTGTTGTTCTGCCTTTGTGCAGGTGGAGGATAGTAAGATTGATTCAGTGGCCTGGTATTGAAGTTGGAATTTAGTTTAAACTGCTGCTGTTGAGGTGGATATGCAGGTTTCTGCTGAAAATTCTACTGCTGCCACTGTGGTTTTAGATTGAAATTCTGCTGCCTTGGCATGTTGTTCATGAAATTAACTTGTTCAGCCCCTTGTTGCTGTATAAACTTAGCTCTTTCTTCACAATGTTCTTCATGAAATTCCTCTTGGCTTGAAGAAGCTACAAACTGAACTTGTTTGGTTCCTTCTATTTTCATGTTTTCAAGCTTTGTGTTGAGGGAATTCAGTTGTTGTGACATCAGTTTATTTTGAGCTAGTAATGCATCTAAGGTGTTCAGTCCCAACACACCCCTTTTTGAAGAATTCCTTTTCCTGTGATTATAATTGTTAGACGCCATGACTTCAATAAGTTGGCGTGCTTCTTCCAAGGTCTTTTGAGCAAATGAACCTCTAGCTACTGCATCTTTCATTGTCTTTCTTGCTACATTCAGCCCATCACCAAAGGTTCTCAATTGGAGCCATTTGGGTAACTTATGATAAGGGCAGTTCTTTGAATTTGTCCTATACCTCTTACAGTGTTTCATCTTCCCTTTGAGAAAAGGCCAAAATTTCTTGCCTCAACTTGGTTATTATAGAGACTGAAAAATACTTTGTTAGGAATTTGCTCTCTAAATCTTCCTAAGTAGTTATGCTTCCTTCCGGTTGGGACAACAACCAGCTCCTTGCCTTATCTCTTAAAGAAAATGGAAAAAGAGACAACCGTGTAGCCTCATCACTCACACCATTTATTCTAATCATTCTGCATATGGTCAAGAAATTTTGAATGTGGAAGTAGGGGTCTTCAAAAGGGTGTCCAACAAATTGTTCTTGCTAGACCACTCTCATAAGGTCAGGTCTGATCTCAAAGTTATTTGCTTGTATTAGAGGTCAAACAATAGATGTGGGGTTTCCTCTCGGTCTTGCACGTGCATAATTATCTAAGGTCCTCCGTAGTTTATTGGCATTCTTTGCCATATTTTTTGAATTTTCTTGTTGTTGATTTTCTTCTTTTTCTGAACTTTATCCTTTCTTTTTGTTCTTTTTTCTAAAACTAATGATTGGTTGATCAAGGTTAGGAGATGAGTCGCTCTTTTTAATTTTTTTTCTTACCTCGCATTAATCGCTTCAGCTGCTGCACTTAGATTTTTTTTATCAAACACCTAAAACATAGAAGAAGTTATTAACCCAAGCTAACATATTCTCATTACCATTGATATTAACCATTAATCCCCAAAAATGGTGCTAGAAACTTGATAAACTCTTTGACAATTGCACCAAATCGTTGAAGTAACAAAATAGATTTATCGACCACAGGGATTAATGTCAAGTATCAAACCACAAGAATATTACTAGTTGGGTCAAAAACAAAGTGGAATTGTAAACAAGAAAATTAGATCAAGTGCAAAATATAAAAACATAAGTGCTAGAAAACTATAATTAACTATGAAAATAAAAATTCAGATGTAAGAAGCTAATTAATAATGAAACTAAACTGCAATATATAACTAAAGAAGATAATGAAATTGAGTTATAAATTAATTAAAAGGTGGGTTGAGTTCAGAATTCCTTATCCCTTTCCCCTTGCATAAAATATGTGTATAACTCAAAACACAGCTCAATCTAGTGGTCAGGTTTCTAAAATACCCAATCTCAATTCCTTGGTTAATTGGCTCTAAAACACAATTAGCTTCTTAATCTTTTAGATAAAACTAAAAACATTCAGCATTAAGATTAAAACCCAAATGACTAAATCATTATAAACTTCCTTTCTTAGATAATTTATAACAAGCATTTTGATTCCAGTCCAAGAAAGCTCATAACTTTTCAGCAATAAACTCCTCTTCATCAACCCTATTCACGTAGAACAGAGAGGCATTAAGTTCAGAATCAAAATATTAGATTTAAGCTTATATCTTCAGTTACATTCAATGCTTAGTTCATTGTAATGGATAAAAGAATAAGTTCATCCTTCCTCAACCCCAAGGAAATTAGCAAGACATAATTGAAATAAAGAAGATAAAGCTGAAATATATTGCAGAAAATGAAATCATGTTCAATAGAAAAAGCTTACAGTAGATTTTAAAATATAGAAAGCTATTGTTTCATTACAAAACCAAGAGAAAGAAGAGATGTAACCCAACTTCTCATCAAAATCGTATATATAAAAAAAAAAATAAAAAATACCCTAACTGACATTCCTACGTAGAACTATATGAAAACTCTAAAATTTTGCACCTCTAAAGTGTAATAAAAAATGTTGTCTTTTTCAGAAAATTTTATTTTTATATGCTCTGTCAAGCTCATCTCTCCGCAATAAAAAGTGAATGTGTCTACAAATGTGCACTACAATAATTTAATTTCTACATTTTAAATTCAATTGTCAATTTTCTGCTAATCCCTTCAAAAATCAAATGCCAACCATTAATATTGGAATAATTCATTAAATTTATAATAATTACATATTCTATTGAATATTCCAATTAATTGCAACAACTTCTAGTTTTAATTCAATAAAATGAGCCATAAGCCTTTTAATTTTCAATATGAGTCCATGACTCATCAGTTCAATAAATCGGTTCATTTAGAATCTTTGAAATGAAAAGGGTAAATGTCACATACGATGAATTGATTCTTTTTAATTATACGATGGATTAAAATTTATTAGAATTCAATAATTTTATTTATTTTATGACTTAAAAAAATTGGAATTATCACATTTTTAAATATGTTTTTCAAATTTAATTATTCAAAATATAATTTTAATTTCTTTTATAAAAAATGAAATGAACAATATTTTTAATAAAAATAATTTAAAAATATATATTTTTGCAAAAAGTTATTTTACTCAATTGACAAAATATATTTTGAATTAAAATATAAATATTTAACCAACACCCATTTAAGTTGGGCTATATTCAAAATTAATATTTTAAATTATTTATAATTAAAAATTAAAAATTTTTATTCAATTGATCGAGGCTTTAGTGACACGTTTCAAGTTATGTTTTGATGGCTGATTTGTTTTTAAAAATTGTCAAACTTTCGTTTTACAAGTATTGAAATAAGTTTTTTAATTTTAAATATTATATTTTATATGTTTGGTTGACAACTCAAACAATATCAGAATAAATCTTTCTGGTTTAGCTCACTGAAATTCATCTCTCTTCTTTCATTTACTATAAAAAGAAAATTAAAACTTCAAAAATGTCTTTAATTTTTATAACTATATAAAATCTATATTTTTCTAAACGATAACATAACTCAAAATATAAATTTCTTTCAAATATAAAATTGACATTTATCAGTTATATAGTTTTTCTGCTTTAAAAAACTAACATAAGATTAAATTCAAATAAAAAAATTGGACAATTTATTATGATTCATAATAATCAATTAACTTTCACTCAACATTTTAAATTCATTTTGGATATGAAATTTGCATTCAAGTATTGTAGATTTTTTTTTAAGAATCTGAAAAATAAATCTAAATTTGATATTAAATAAAAATGAAAAATTAGAACACCGAGATTACAGTCAATTAATAGCTGTATAGATACAATCAAGACTTGAGATATGTTAATTTGATTAATTATGAAATATAATCTTGAGAGATAAAATCTCGTAAAGTTAAGTATAAATACGTTGGTATTAATTACACAAGATATAAAATCTAAACTTGTATTTATCTAATACAAGCTGTGGATAAATCAATAATCAATTTAGCAGCAAACAAGATCATGATTCACGGTTGATAATCTATAAAATCTACAACTGATATTCAAAAATATATAAAAAACAGAAAGTTGAGACTTCTATAAATACTTCGAACACTGTTATGTCAATTACATGCAAAAGCAATACGGCTCAGAGAAAGTTTCTCTGGTTCTGATTTTTAACCAAAACTCTTTCTAATGGCTGTCCCAAACAACATTTGTACCCATCTTACGTTGGGTAGATGTCCATGTACTGCAACAGAGACAGAAGTGTGTGATTCCAAAAGCAATGTTTGTACTCATTTAACGTTCAGTTGTTTGTGTCACTGTACAACAGCCTCCTCAACAAAGAAAAGGAAAGGTTGCCACAAAGGTCCCTTTGTTGCTAAAAAGAAAGCACTCATAGACTTGGTGGTACAAGATGATGTTCTGGTGGAAGGCGATGATGATGATCCTTGGAAGATAAAAAAGGTGTTGAAAGAGAGTGATCTTGGCAATATGAGTCGGCTCATGCTAGGGAAGGATTTGGCAGAAAAGTTTGTGTTGCCTGTGTTGGGTGATGCTGTTGAGATTGAGAAGGGAGTTAGTGTTAAGATTTGGGATGTGGACACCTACACCATGCACTCTCTTGTTTTCAAGAAATGGGTTTCTTCAAGATGCTACATTTTTATGGGAAAATGGGTCCAAGAATTTGTTAAGAGAAGGGGCTTGAAGAAAGGGGATGAGATTGGCTTTTCTTGGAATTCATATAATAGTCACTTCAACTTCTCTGTTCTTAGGGTCAATTAAGACAAGATAACTTGTGTACAAAAGGCTTAGAAATCATTCAAAATTGTGTATTTTGATTAATAATTTTTAGCAGTTGTAAGATTAGAGGGGTTTAAATCATTACTGCTTTCATTTGTTATAAACCTTCTCTGGATATTATGCTGTTGTTTTTATGTATACACTTTCTATAGAAATAACATATATATGTTTGCAATTTTTTTTTTTTGCTATATAATTTATACATTTTATTGGGTCCATGCTACTACTACCACATTTATTGCTTGTTACAAAATCATGGTAGACTATCGATGAAAAAATAAATCATGCAGAATTACTCTTCAAATTAATTGTGTTTAAAGTATGTTGTTTTTGTGGTTTAAAGTTTAAATTCTTTGAGATTCTTGTAATTGAAATTTCATATTACGATTTCAATTGCATCATGATTATGGTTACAACAAGCTATGAGTTGATGCATGTGACAATTGTTTGGATGCTCCAAAACTGGTCGATGCATGTGGAAATCTCCCATTGATGAAAGAGTAATTTAAAGTTTATCGGCAATTTTATGACAACACATAATTATTAAACTTTGACTAATATACTTTCTATTTCGACCAGTCAATTGTCTCTTTGAAGAAAGGGTTTAAAGAAAGTCAAATGCCCCTATAATTTGAATTCCTAGCGTCCTCTGCCTTCAAGAAATATGTTTATGAGCATTTTTTTTTTGTTGATAAAAATTTGAAATAAAATGCTAACTAATTATGATACAAATTGTATCATAATGTAATTAGAATTTCATATTACGATACAAATTGCTTCTTGATTATGGTTAGCTCGCTATGAGTTGATGCATCCATGGCAATTGTTTTGATATTCTGATATATGCACGCATAGCCATGACTCCTTTTAATTATATTTTGTTTCTTCATCTATTTTCCTTTTTGAATGTTCATTCAGCATAGCCACAACTCCTCTTAGCTAGGTTATCACTTTCTATTACAGTAGTACAGATATTTTTTACTGTTAATTAAGTCAAGTTACCTATTGTAAATCATTTTTACCTTCTCATTCAATCAATCTATGATTTATTATTGTTGTAGTTCATTCAGTTTTGACAGCTATTGTAACTGTACCTGGCAATACAACTAGTTTAGGACTTTGAATTCACTTATATAATTGTACACAGTTTACACATCTATGAACTGAGTCACACACATACACGTTTGTCTACCTTTCTTAATTGTCATCTTGCTCCAATAGCCAGTGTTGGATGGGGGAATTTTGTGCTTGAAGGTGTGTTGGAGTTAATGTGGGCGTCAGGCAGATCAAGAAATAAGAGATGATTATGGCACACATTCGAATGCTATTTGGATGTCAAGCTGTGCTCGATATTGTTAAGAATGACTTACAAGATTTGGGAAGCAATGCCATGGATATGGAGAAAGCAGCCTATAAAGATGCAAAAACAAAGGATTGTACGGCCAAATTTATCCTCCATCCATGTGTTGATTTTGCAAAGTTTGAGAAGATAGCAAGAGTCTCTACTTCCAAGGAAGCATGGGAGATTTTAGAAAAATGTTACACAGGTGACATAAGCTCAAGAAAGTTTGTCTTCAAACTTTGAGGCGACAATATGAGCTTCTTCAAATGGAAGCACAAGAGAGTGTAGAAAATTATTGTTAGTATTTTTGGGTCACATATATATTATGTAAATATGTTAGAGCCATTATCTGATTAACCAAAATTATAAAGTGATTTGTTAATATTGAGTTTATGGTTAAGGACATAATTGTTATAAAAAGTTACTGTGTAAATACCATAAGTAATGTTCTGATTTGATGAGGGATAAAATTAGAAATATTAAATTCAGAATGTAACTGACAGAAGTTACATTAATAGGTTATGGTCTCCATTTGAAGAGGAAGTTACAAAATATACAAAGAACTAATTTTGTTCTTTTCTCTTCATCCCCATCAGAAGAGAAACCTGGAAAAGGGAACCTAAGACACTCTATATTTGGAAGATCATATACCCAATTCCCAATGGCAAATTCAGGTACGCTTCCGCATTCCGTTTTCATCATGAATTGGGGTATGGGTTCACAAAGATCAATATGTGATTGTGCTGTAATTTTGGTTCCATATGTGCAAAAGCATGTGGTTAAGCACAATTATTTTTTGTTAGAAAATCCAACAATTATTTTAGTTGAGTCTTGAGCCTTGCCAATCCGATGAAGGCCTGTGGAGAAAATGTTTTGGATCAGATGGTTGTTGAAAAGGTGTTAAGGACTCTTACACCTTGATTTGATCTCATTGTGGTTGCCATTGAAGAGTCCAAGAATATTGAACTCAAGAAAAGATCTATTTACATTTCTATTATTTCTATAAAAGACAAGTGTGGAGCCAGTTACAAAAGAGATGAGATAAGGGATATTGGGTTGTTTTGTAGTACTGCTATGTTTTAGGAGTTTTAGTTAAACAGAGGTCTATATATGTTATTGTATCCACATATTTGATTGCTGCATATCAGAATCCAGTTTCTAAATTAACTTTTGTTGCTATCTTTTATTCTGTTGCCTATTAGTTTACAAGTGGTATCAGGAGCCAAAAACCCTTTCCAAAACATATTCAAATGGCCACAACTGATACATATGTTCAGCCATCTATTCCTCACTTTGATGGGCATCATTATGATCATTGGAGCATTTTGATAGAGAACTTTCTCAGATCGAAGGAGTATTGGATCATTGTTGAGTTGGGAGTTCCTGAGCCACCTGTAAGTACAACTGATGCACAAAAGACATAGGTAGATAACTTGAAGTTGAGGGATTTAAAGGCCAAAAATTATCTCTTTCAAGCAATTGATAGAGTTGTGCTTGAAACTATCTTGAACAAGGAGACATGGAAACAGATTTGGGATTCTCTAAAAGAAGAAGTATCAAGGGAATGCTAGAGACAAGCAGCAGCAGTTACAACATCTCAGGGGTGAGTTTGAGACATTGCAAATGAAGACAGATGAAGCTGTTTCAGATTACCTCTCCAGAACCATGGCAATTACAAACAAACTTAGAATTTATAGTGATAAAATTGAAGACGTCACCATCATTGAGAAGGTGCTTAGATCCTTAATAACAAAATATAATTTTGTGGTTGCAGCCATTGAAGAGCCTCATGATTTAGATGATATGACTATTGAACACATGCTTTACAAGTTTCATCGATGCCAACTGGGTCAAAGAAGAACAAAGGTCAATGGAAAGGGAAAGGCAATAGAGAACCAGAAAGGAACCAAAAGATGGTCAGAAGAGAAGCAAAAAGGAGCAACCACCAAATGGAAAAACAAAGCACGTATTGAGTGTTTTCAGTGTCACAGATTTGGTCACTACAAGTCAGTGTAGGACCAATCTGGCAAGGAGAAGAAATCAAATTATGTTGAGCAAGAAGAAAAGGATGTTGAGATCTCTTTGTTGATGGTGTGCCAGGCAGGAGAGAAAAATACGAAGCACTTATGGTATTTAGATATTGGCTGTAGTAATTACATGTTAGGGGACAAGGAGGCTTTTGTTGATGAATCTTTTAGCGACGCCATAAAGTTTGGTGGCCATTCAACTGTTGAAGTTTAAGGAAGAGGTAAAGTCAGTATTCAAACTAAATCAGGTGAAATTGTTGAGTATTGGACAATTACAAGAAAAGGGCTATGAAATTGTGATAAGAAGTGGAAGTAAGTCAGGTGAAAGATGTTGTGCTGGGACTGATTCTGCAACCGAAAATGACTAGCAACATGATGTTTCCTAATTTACCTGCAGAATTTAAAGCTTAATTGCTTGGTAGTAGAACAAAGCACTTTGGCTTAGCCTTGGCACAACCGATATGGTCTCTTATACTTTGGAGGCTTACAACAATTGCAACAAAAGAACCTGGTCAGAGGACTTCCTAAATTTGAGTCGCCCTGAAAAGTTTGTGAAGAATGCATTCTCAGTAAGCAACATAGAGGTGCATTTCCAGAAGGCAAAGCATGGAGAGCTCATCATGTACTAGAATTAGTTCATACTGATCTTTGTGGACCAATTACTCCTGCATCCACTGCAGGTAAGCAATACTTCATCACATTTATCAATGATTTTAGCCTGAAGACTTGGTGCTATTTTTTGACATAATAAATCAGAAGTATTTGAAGCATTCAAACGATTTATGATACAAGTTGAAAAAGAAACCAATAATTCCATTAAGATGCTGCGATCTTATAGAGGAGGGGAGTTTAACTCCTCTGAATTCACAAAATTTTGTGAAGAAACTGGAATTAAGAGACAACTTACAACCCCTTATACTCCTCAGCAGAATCGGGTTAGTGAAAGGAAGAACAGAACACTGCTCGACATGGTGAGAAGCATTTTGAAGAAATCTAGTCTACCAAAACCATTTTGGCCAGAAGCTGTTGCATAGCTTAATCATGTTCTAAATAGGAGTCCTTCCAATGCACTTACTAAGAATCCTGAAGAAATTTGGAGTGGCATCAAACTAGGTGTGCATTATTTTCGAATCTTTGGCTGCTTAGCTTAAGCACACATACCAGATCAGAATCGAACCAAGCTGAGGCAAAGGAGTGAAGTGTATTTTTATGGGAACAAGTGAAGAATCTAAAGCTTCCAAGCTTTATAATCCTGTGACAAAGAAGCTCATTATTAGTAGGGATGTAGTGTTTAACGAAAATGAATTTTGGTCATGGGATTTACCAATTGAAATGCCAAAAATAAAAGACATTCTTGATGGTGAAGTTGATGAAACAGCTGCCAAATCTGCTGCAATTCAACAAGAAGTGCATCAAAAAATTATTGATTCTTCAAGGCCCCAACGCACCAGGAGAAGACCCAGTTGGTGGCAAGATTTTAAGGTCACAAGTGTTCCTAATGCAGATCTTGAAAATCTCTTACAATTTTCCTTGTTTGTAGGTTGTGATCCAATTTTATTCAAAGATGCTGTGAAGGAAGAAAAGTGGAAAAAGGCAATGGAGGAGATAAAGGC